CTTTCTCTTATACTATATTTTTTCCTATCTCGTAAAAACATCGCGTTTAAGGTATTGTTTAACGATACATTTGTTTCAGGATAAATTCGTATAGTCCAAAGTTAAGAATGTAATAATTTACATTTTTTTCCACTCAAGATTATTTTTCATATTTTTTCATTTCCGTAAAAATAACTAAGACATTGATAAAGATGTGCAAAGCTTTTGCTTGTTCGAGACCTATACATTATGTAATGAAATATTCATATATTTATGTTCAAGTTTTAAGAAAAGTGTAAGTAAAATTTATTAGTCACGTAATGTATGTATAATAACGATTGTTGTATTTCTTTCATAAGTGGTTCAATTTATATTACAAAACTTTTTCTAATAAATATTTTGAAATAATTTGCTCACTTTCATAAAGTTAAGAACACTTTTATAACGATTCTTCATGGTAAAAATTAAAAATTGTGCAAATATAGACATTTTCTTAAGTAGAAGATGTGAGTACTAACAGAAATTCTTTAGAAACGAAAGGTACTTGTAAAGCACATAATTCGAATAAGTTTCAATATTTAAAAATTTTTCAACACTATCGCTATTACTAAAATGGTGCGAATGTCACAGAAAGTAAGCGATCTCTATATTATCGACCGAAGATATCGGAAGGGATGTAAAAGCCAGTGATGTGAATGAATGAGTAAAAAAAAAAATAGCAATATACAAACAATGATATGTACATATATGGTTTTTTTTTATTTCAATAAGAAATTATAACAGTAAATACCCCTCCCCCGCGTAAGGTAATTGCGTGACACATGATTACACACTTTAACTTTTCTCTCGTAAATAATATTGCACCATAATATGTCCAAGTGTTGATAACAAGGGTTAAAACAAATGTGATATCGATTTTGGTTATTGAAACAATTATGGAGAACCGAAAAAGTTTTATAACTCTTACAAGATATAGTCCTTATAAGAGAATAATATATATATTATTTCTAATAAGGTTACAGTTGTTCAAAACCGATATTATAACGATTCTATAACTTATTTTTAGTTCTAGATTTTAATTTTGTGTGGTATTACAAAGGTGTAATCATATCGCAAACATTTGCCATTTAAATATACTACCCGCACTTTTATAACTTAAAGGAAATGCAATGCTTTTGATACGTATTGTTTCACCATAACCGAAGTGAATAATCGAAACCGAGAATCGAAAAATAATAGTAATGAAACCATTATAACATCGGTTCTGAAGAACCAAAACCTAAGTAAATCTAAGTAAAGAAGTAATCTAAGAAACCTATAAGGGTTCCGTATATTTCATAATGATATTATATTTGACGCTTCAGTATCGCAATGAGCAGTTCAGAAGTAGTCAATTGTGGTCTCCAAAATGCCATCTTTTACAATATCGTGGAGTAATTTGAAATATTCGACAATCACGAGGCAAATATTGCTGCCTGTCACGAGACTTCCGAAGGCAAATGTGACGTCACAAGATGACCGCCGCTGACAGATATTTTTTTACACATCGAGAGATTCAGCGTTCTTATAGAAAAAATAAAACCTAGCAGTTCTAGACAGGACATGTGCAAATGTGGTAATATGTACTTTTAGCTGATTACTGAGTTATTCAAGAGAAAAAACGAAATATTCCAAAACACCGACTGGAGGTTCCGACATTTTTCACTACTAGCGCAACTGTTACCTTCCCTCAGTCGTCGTTGCATATATTCTGTTTTACCGATACATCGTGTAGGATATAGCCCATCACAGAGAATTATACCTAAACCACCGATCTGTCGAAACTTTGACAAGAAAATCTTAAAAACATAGAATTAAGAAGATAAAATTAAAAGGATAAAATTGAAACATAAAATTAAGAAAATAGAATTAAAATGTTCTATTGTAGATAATTCTACTCAAGGCCAAATTCGGGAGTCGCACCCTTATAGGGTATTCATTTTGCTATTACATCCCAAATGAAAATAACAATAAAACTGTCGCACATTCACAAATCAAACAACAAGTCGTATTATGAGGAAATGCTGTCATTCTGTCGATTGTTTAGTACATACAGAGCATCATTATCAAAGACAGACAGCAATAAAAATTCCACAGCTTTGCGTTATCTCCTGTCTCAGTCCGTCAAATTAGTCTCGTCGAGATTTACGTCCCGTACGCGTGGGAACGCTGACGAAGGTCGTTGTTCAACGAACACCGTTCTGTTATTATAAACAAAGATTTTTAACCTAAGTCATGCTTTTCGCGATTTTGAGATTGTCGTTGTTTACATTTTTTCGGTCGCGTAGAGATCACGGTATTGTAGGTCATTAGATAAGTTTTGACATCTGAATTTAACGATCTCATATACATATAACAATATAAACAATATATAAAAATGTAACATTTTCCCTAACTTAGTAAACGGATTAACGGTAGGAAAGTAATTCTATTCAATCCGTGTTTCTTGCAAATAATGCAGAAAATTTCTATTTTGCATAAAAAAACGCACTTTGGTCATTACATTTGGCAATTAAACAGATAAAATTAAAAAGATAAAATTAGAAAGAACAAATTAAAAACATAAAATTAAAAAGATAAAATTAAATACATTAAATTAAAAAGATAAAATTAAATAAATTAAAATAAAAGTCAGATTTTTTAATTTCCAAATTAAACGATGTTTTCTTTTGAAACGAACAAGCTATTTCGTTTACCCAATTATGTAGAATAGAAAATGAACGTTCTCTGGTATTTCAATATCGCAGTTTTAAACAATATCAGTAATTATGGAATACTGAATTTGTAGTAAAGGATAAGTTTCTTGAATGGATTTACATATACCTTTACGTTATAAGTTTCTACATAACAGCGCTAGTATTTACTATCTCTCCCACCCTTCAACAGAATAGTTTCCACCCACGGTATCGCTGCGACGTGTTATCAAATTATTCTAATAACCTGGACAATATTTCTGTTATGCAAATATTTGGGGACCTACAGTGTACAGTCCATTCCAAGATTTTTCCCACGCAAAATAAAATTTTGAATAATGATTGAATGCAGTAATTCACTAATTATTATCCATATGGCGTAACGATTAGGTTCAAACAAAATCAAAGCGATCATATCGATCACTAGACTAATTAAAACGCAGTGCAGTATAAATATCTACAAAATGCCAAGTTGCAATAATGTATCATAACTAGACTGCGGATGTTTATGCAATATCTTTGATTATCTTAACAAGGATTTCTTTTTATATTTTTACTGTTTTAAATTATGCCTAACTCGCTTTTGCCATAATAAGTTCATCTAATAATAAATTCTGTTACGGATTTTTATACAGAATAAACATTGCATCAGTTGCAAACGACAGAAGGTAAATAAGAATATATTTATTTTCCTAATAATTTTAATAAACCAAAAGTAATGTAACAATTTTCCTAATTTTCTTCTGGTTTCTGAGCTGTATTTCTCTTAGTCACATTTACAATAGAATATAAAAATCGTCTTAATTCGTAATTATCGATTTCAGTGGCTTACAGTAACCTTGGATCATTGGAAAATATGACCTTGTCAATAAGATGGAACAGTGTTAAAAACTTGAAACAATAATATTTAAGAAATTATTATAATCCGAGAGTCAGTGATTTTCTTAATATTGATGCAATTCAATTTTTTGCTTTCTGTGATTTCAGAAATAACTTTTCTCTAAACAATGAAACTATATATATATAACTACATACACTATGTTAATTATAATGTAAGTTTAGAAATCATTTTCTGAATATGCCCATGTGAAATGATAAAGCGTGTCTATTTGTTACGCTATTTTCTTTTACAAAATTTTTGAACTGTAAAATGGAAAAGTTGACTGATCAGAAGCTTTTGTACGTTACTGTGGACAGATAAATGGAAAGACACGCATTAGCTTTCAACAACTGTGCCCATACAAAATATATGAAACTATGACTGAGGTATGGTAAACTGACAGATACGACTGTCGATGAAATTTTTATTAAATATTGCATGAGAAAGCTATCCCATTAACGATACGTGCAAACAGAAAACGCAAATAAGGTATTAAAATCGATAAGAAAAGCTGTACGAAGAAGTAAGAAGTGCAAATGAATTATTATGTTAACAAAAATCGCTAGTTCCATTCTATCAGAATTCACTTGTTATTTGCACAACTAATACTTCAATAAAAGTGCAGTTGTGATACATTTTTCTTTTACTTTATGAGATTTCACGGACGACAATATAAAACCGCGGAGCTACAAAGGTACGTTGTAGGTACGGTAATTTCATCCTAATAATCAGTTGTCAGCAACTATAAAAACGAGACGCGAGGCTCGAAGAATCGCGACTTAGTATTCTCAGATCTGCCGGTTTCAATTCCGACCTCCGAACATTTCTGGGAGAAATTACTGTATTGTGTAGAAAAAGGATATTTAAAGTGCCTAGCCGATTAAGACGATCAAAATCGCCCTTAAAGGTTTTTTAACTCTTCAAAATTTTTAAAAGCCATCGAAGGGGGAAATGGGCGGAAAAGCACACAGTTACAGGTTTGAAATTTTGTACAAATGAGTTTTTCTTGATGAGCTATCGAACAGTATTACACTCATCAAAAAACCTCTAAGGGAAATTTAATTAGTTAACTAGTAATCAGCTAGGTCCTTTTTCTTCCGTTGATACAATACAATTATTAAAAATTTGTTTATTAGTTTTCCAGTTGATAAAATGTTTTATTAGTTGATACCAATATTAACATTGCAAATGTTTTCCGTAATTTAAAAAAATCGAGAATAAAGGACGCGACTTACCTCGATTCGCAACGAGGACGCTTCTGATTGGTTTGAACTGGACATCGCTGGCGAAAAGTCTTGACGCAATTTGGTACACTTGCAGAACATTTCGATGCCTTATTAAGGCATGTTTGGCTCGTGCGGATTGCATTTTGAATAATTTACTTCGACTACGGTCTTTAAATATATCAGACGCAGAGCCTTTTATGTACAAATGGCTGCGAAAGATTACCCGGCGCTCAACTGATCGATTAAAACGCTCGTAGTTATTTATTTACAATATACGATGCACTTTCACGGAAGGTCCGTTAATTTAGTTGAACCGAGCCTCGTAAGAATTACGCACGAGTCGAAAAGAATTTTCGCGTCGTTTCCCTAAATTTCACTGAACACACTGTAACCCTGACCAACTCATACACTGTTGCACGAACTTCTAACGGATGGGCACAGCAGACACCGCCACATTTTATATCGATTTGAAATTTATTTCCTATTTACTCTTCTTATTTACTTCTTGTTACAGAACTGATCACACAACAACTACTTTTCTTGTTTCGAGAACGCTGTTTCGGGGTGGGTTTGTTTCTGCTGCTGCTGCTGCACGCGGATTTTGAACAGGTGCACCAGAGTCTAATTCGTTCGTTATCGGTAGTATTGCGTGGTGTGATCGTCAGCTTTCTGAAACAAACAATTTAGAAATTCGTGATTAGCGAGCCGAAGTCTTGGCAGCGATAACCGGAAGAAACTCATAACAAAAGTGTCGCAAAATCTGTCCGATATCACTGGCCGAAGTTATTTTTCTCACTCAACATGTTTAAAATGTATCTACTAATTTATTTATGGTATTTTAGCTGGAAAAAAATAGTTATAAAGAAGTAAAAATGATAACATAGTTATAAACAATAATAGTTATAAACAAATAAAAATGATTATAGACAAGTAAAAATGATTATAGACAAGTAAAAATGATTATAGACAAGTAAAAATGATTATAAACGAATAAAAATTATTAATAAAATATAAAAATATTATTCTTATTATTTAATGAATTCAAAACGGGCCTCTGTAAGTAAGAGGATCTAGAAGAATTGCAAATAATCAAAAACAAGTTAAAGATCATAGAAACCTCGTTACAATTGTTTTGAGAATATTTGGGAACCAATTTCACATATGGTTTAGTTTTATGGCATAGTTCTATGACATTTTTAAAAACTATTTCATTATTGCCAATTATTTATGATGTCACTTTAAAACCATTCCAAACGGAACTGTAAAAATTGTTCTTATACTATACGTCCATATTTAACTGCTTTGGCTCTACAGATTTTGCACTCCAAATTCATCGTTTTATTTACTAATAAGCCGGATGATTAGATCATTAAATGATCTATTTCTGTTGCAGTTGATGAATAGAATTTCTCTAGTCAGAGGGCAGACATAATTTCCTTCACACTCGTATATAAAAATACCAAAAATAATAAAAGTAAAAAATAATAAAATCAAATTTTAAAAGTGAAAAATAGAAAAATAAAATGAAAATAAAAGATTACAAGATTACAAGAAGATAAAATTAATATTTTACATTTAATATTGTTACACAATACAAATCTGTAGCCTACGATAAGGAAGTTGACTACACCCAAGAATTCGTATCAGTGTAACATGCTTTCTTAACTTTTGTCGGCAAGTGTATGTGTACGTTGTTGTTGACGATTACGAGTGTCATCGATCCTGCTGATTTTTGTTATTGAGACGTTATGTAACGCTATAGCGTGATCACACATTGCGAAATATTTTCAACATTAAATGGTTGCTCTTGTAAACTTCGCGATAGGTATTATGACAACTGAACGTTGAACCACTAGTGCGACTGAAGATTAACAAGTTATTGCGCTACTGCTTGTTTTTGTCGTCATTTCATCATTTCTTTATCGCATTGATCGTGACGGATGTCTAAACAGAAACGTGATTTATCCCGTATTCAAGAGTACTTGTTTCTTGTCACGTGATCGTTCGCTCTACGCAAAATGGGTGGGCGGAGAAAAGTGAACGTTATTTTCGTGGGAGTAGACTGTATTCATTCGCTAAAATAATTCAAGATTGGACTATTCTCTTCTGCGAAATTATAACAGTTGAAGTAGCGACGATTTTTCGAAAATTGGAGAATTTATTCGAAAGCAAATCTATGTACTTATAATATATATATATAATATAACATATATACTATATACCATATACCATATACTATATACCATATACTTTCTTAACCTAACAATAAGCGTAGTGCAATAGAAACAAAGTCTGTATGAAGCACACTAATTGTAAGACTATACAAATGTACAGTGACCCACAAAAGTGTTCGTACACCTTTTAAAACGTAATAACTATTTAAAAACTCGAATTTTTTTTAGATGATAAAGGGTCTATTAGACAATTAAAAAACAAGGATTTTTAATTTTTTCTTTCCATTCCAATAGCTTAATTACAAAAAAAATGCTTTTTAGCCATCGTATAGTAGACTAGTCCCTCTGTGATTTAAAGAAAATTCAAGTTATTTAATACAGTTTTAAAATAGTTACTTTGTTTTAAAAGGTGTACGAACACTTTTGTGGGCAATTGTATGTAACAATCGTACATATTGTTATACATGTTTACATAACCTCTGTTGTGTAACTGTTAGCCTTGCAATATGGAATGTTTATTTAAAAACAAAAGAAAAAGTCGTCCGACTGTAGAGACGCTGTCATTGGGTCCGAATCATACTCTAATCTAAACAGTGGACAAGTCAGGATTGGCAAGATGTATTATTCTCGGACGAGTCAAAATTCAATCGTATTTTTTTTTCTTTTCTATTTGAAGCATTCAAATCTTTCTGAGATTTATTTGCTTTGCTATATACGTTTAGGAAAGATCGGAGTTAACTATGTGTTTACATATTGTATGTAACTTGACAAACATTAAGATTACATTTTGTAAGAAAAGACATAATATTCAATCGTATTTCTCCCGATGGATCGCGATACGTGGGACATCATTTTGGAGATTTGCAATCACAGTGAATTTTTCCAGTTCAATCCTTTAAATGGAATAGTTAACATTTCTTCTTGAATTCGGATGAAGCGTTGAATTCTACACAAAGAAGTATTACACCAAATGGAGTCTAAGATACATGGTTACTGAGATATTAGCAAAAGTAAATCACGTTTTATTAGAAAAGACGTTAATCGACGTAACAATTAACACAAAGTAGTCAGGCAACTTTATTTACGAGCGGCCGATTAGTATTAGAAAACACAGTCTTAGATGCTACATAGGTAACAACGTATACAACAACGTATTAGTCGTGCACGTTCTGCAACAACAGCATAATGAGATTACGTAATTATACTGACTGTAACGGGCTAACTTATTTCGCTAATGTCTCGGTAATTATGTATCTTCGATCCCATTTTTTATACACTTTTGTATGTAGAATCCAACGCTTTATCCAAATTCAGGAATAAATGTTAACTATTTTATTGAAAAAATTGAAGATGACCTTCATATCTTGATAAAAGAGCAAGATAACATAAAACTAATGACAATACTATATGTACCTCTGGAAACCATGCAACTTCTAGTTGAAACATTTTTTCGTACAACAAATATTTTATGAGTTATTCGATGTCGTCATGTTACGAAACTCGTCCTGTATATTAAGTCTATCTATTCGAAAGGTCAGCATTTATCCAAAAATCTTCGCAACAACTTCCTATATTATCAAGCAGTAAACCTTATTCAAAATCAAATAAAGCACGTGATTTTATATTTCAGAATTCCTACGTTCAACTGGTTTTCGAATTAAACAGAGTCAAGCGAGTGAGGTGAATACAAAGCAACTTGTTTCTCGATTCTCGGCAATGCAGCACTTTCAATTCGCGAATCGTCTCGGATGTCAACATTCTGATGCGACACTCGTCTCCTAAAAATAAATAAAGCTCGTATAAAGTCTTCTCGAATGTATACACGATGTTTCAGGACCGTAAAATAAACAAATGTGTATTGCGGATTTATGCTCGCAAATACTTCCGTCGAAGAGATATTTACTAATTGCAAGGCTTACAAGGGAAACTTGCTAACGTGGAAATCGCTTTTGAAACGGGAACGGGTTAAAATTACAGTATATATCCAATATTAAAAAGCCTAATGCGATCTTTTTGCAAGATATTTTGATTCCAAGTTTGTACGCATCCATGTAGATAACACGAAGAGGTGATCGTTTGGAAACCTCCAATCTAAATATCTCGAAAAGAACACATTTTCGGGAAAAATGTTAGGAACAAAAGAATGAAAGAAATGTTCTTCTTTATTCAAAGAAGAATAAATTTTTGTATGAAACATTTTTTTATGGAAGCATTTGCGAACATAATTCGAGAGGACAAAGTTTGTTTTACGATCCTAAATTCATATTTTACTTGACATCTCTGTACAGATGACTTGAATTTTTTATAAATGTTACAGGGACTTTTTCATAAATTTTAAAGTGGCTAAAATACTTTTCTTTTTTATATTTTCGTAATATTCTGGATAAAGATTTGCAGCTTGGCGATGAATCCAATTAGGTTTGTTATTTTTAGGGATGTAAAGAAATATATTAAACACTGTGCACGAATACTATAAATAATATGTAAAAATCTATTCAAAGTTTGCATTATTCGTATTCATCCGTTGTTATGCTTATTTCTATCAATGTATTTGAATACTATCCATACTAATTCTATAAAGCAGGTGGTCGCTAATTACAGTAAAACAAAATTATAAATAAATAAAATTCAAATCATTTCATAAATATACCGTCGTGTACATTCAATGTAACGGATAATTTTGTTTTAATAAACAAAATTAATCTGGTTACTAAATAATCTACAAAATAATTTGCGATAAATAAAAGATCACTCGAAAGCTTATGTTCTCGCAAAGTATCTAAAAACGTAGCACTACAATCTATATTGAATTTGCATTTAAAGTCTCAGTACCAATAAGCATAAGTACACTGTAAATCACCTGAATACGTT